AACAAGGGGCACCTCACATGGGCTGTCTCATGGATCAGACATTTCAGTCAAGACTTCGGCAGGTGCTGAGTCTGAGCCAGTTCATGGTGGAATGCGAAATTCTCAAACAATGGCTTGCTGTGCCTTGTTCTACAGCCCTCATAAAAATGCGCCCTTATCTTTAGACCCCAGTCACAGTGGGTCAGGTTGCAATATGAGGTCAAGTTTATGTTACTTTCCAAAGGGACAAACTCCACTTCAGGACAGACATAGGCTGCTGGGGTGTCTGTGGGTAGAACTAGCATCTTCCTTACTAAGTGGATCTTCTCAAGGACACCCACAAAGCCACGTGTAACATTTCCCAAGCTCTGCTCTGTGTGAAAGGATGTTTTCAGACAGGTGTGACCAGCTCATTACATGCTTTTTCCATTACAACAAATTCTTTGTGGCCCTCTGCAGTGGAATAAGGTAACTCTGCTGCAGAATACTTGAACACTACCCCCTCACCCGCACCCCCAGATACACAGTGATTTGGGGCTTGTAAATTGAGCCTCTGATGAGTCGGCTGCTTTCTAATGTGTGCCTGGTGCCAGAGAGTGAGTCAGTGTTGTTAATGCCGAGGATTCCTGTCTGCTTACACCCAAAGTGAGTTGTTTAGTTACAGATTGCATAACACAGGTGTGGAATACAATCCTGCTTTGGGCCATTTGAGGTGTGATATCTCTCATGAGAGTATTTGTTCCCATCTTGATTTTACCAGCTGTGCTTGGTTGTAGACTCTGTATTTGTCTCAATAGCTCAGGACATATGAATGGTTCTGTCCACAGATGGTTTGGGTCTATTGAACCCTAGGTCAACAAGGGATTAATAAATACTGCAAAACTGTTATATTGTTGTTACCTCTTTACATGATGATATATAACAGAATAGATAAGCAAACAGCACAATGGCTGAGACTGAAAACATATTACTTGTGCAGGATGCTGTTTGGAAGAACCTATTTATCAAATTTTTTGGGTGAGAAAGGCAGGATAGAGTTGTGAAGGAATGCCCACTGGGATGATTGCCTTACAATTTTGGAGAGGTTGATACAGAACTTTTATTATTTATTTATTTGTTTATTTCTAAAGATTTTTATTGGGGAATTGGGGGGAGGGGAACAGACAAGTTGCTGTCCTTTTGTTCTTCAGTCTAGTTGTGGAGGACGTTGCTTCACTGGCCCAAGTTGGCACCATCATTGTGCTCTTCCCAGGTGAGGCAGATCAGTCGCCGGCTTCTGGACAGCCGCTCACTACGGCTGCTGGCCGCTCACGCTGGCTGCTGGCTACACATGGTAGCCCATGGCAACCCACTGCAGCAGGGGCTGCAGCCTCCGCCGTCGCCGGCGACTCACGGCAGCCCAGCTCCAGGTTGAGCTGTTGTTCAGCATCTTAGCTGTGGAAGGCAGTGTCACTGGCACTCATATGTGGGATCCGAACTGGGGCCCTCTGGCGTCCCAAGCCAGCTCTTAACCATCGCGCCACTTGGTTGGCCCTGGAACTTTTAAATTATCATCATCATCATCACCATCAAAAGAGAAAACATACACATTATTAAAAACAAAAAAGGCAGAGAAGGATTTAAATTAATGGTAAAATGCTCCTTCCCCCTGACCCCTGTTCTCATTGTCTAAACAGCCACCATTACCTGTTTTCATGTGTAAGCTTCCAGGAAATTTTTATGAATTTACATATAGATACACACACAAATGGAAAAACAAGTCTTCTCTGCACCTTGCTTTCTTTGTTTAATACTGTATCTTGGAGACATTTTCAATGTCAGTATATATGCTTTTGCCATTCATTTTAAAAATAGACTTTATTTTTTTAAAGTGTTAGGTTTACTGCTGAACTGAGCTGAAGGTACAGTTAATTGGTTAACCTGTATTGATATGTCATTGTCACTCAAAGTCCATAGTTTCCATTAGGATTCACACTTGATGTTGTTTATTCTATGGTTTTGGATGAATTTATAAGGTCTTCATCATGTTCCCACCATCAGAGGCTCATACAGCACAGTTTCACCACATATTCATCACTCCCCCCACGGTCCCTGGCAACCACTGATCTTTTTACTGTTTCCATAGTTTTGTCCTTCTAGAATGTTTTATAGCAATAGTCAAACAGTATGTCACTTTTGCAATTTCTTTCACTTAGTAATAGGCATTGAAGGTTCCTCTATATCTTTTCATGGCTTGATAGCTCATTTCTTTTTTTATCACTGAAGAATATTCTATTCAGTGGATTACCATAGTTTATCTATTCACCTACTGAAGGACATCTTGGTTGCTTCCAAGTTTTGGAAATTACGAATAAAACTGCTATAAACATTCATGTGCAGGTTTTTATGTGGACACATGTTTTCAACCCCTTTGTGTAAATACCAAGGAGTGTGATTGCTGGCTTGTATGGTAAATATGCTTACTTGTGTTAGAAACCACCAAATTGTTTTCCAAAGTGGCTGCATCACTTTGCATTCCCATCAGTAATGCATGAGATTTTCTTTGGTTCCATATCCTTGCCACCACTTGATGCTGTCCTGCTTTCCAGATTTTGGCCATTCTCATAGGTGTGTAGTGGTATCTTGTTTTAATTTGCATTTCCCTGATGATATATGATGTGGAGCATGTTTTCATATGCTCATTTGCCATCTGTATATCTTCTTTGGTGAGGTGTCTGTTAAGGTCTTTGGCCCATTTTTTCTTTTGGTCAGCTCTTGTTTACATGTATAACTTTAGAAACATTTTGATAAGGAATATACCGACTCTGACTCAGGTGGTTCATATCTTTCTTTTTCTTTATCTCCTTTTTTGGAGCATTATTGATATATAATTGACATATAACATTGTATATATTTAATGTGATGTAATGGTGTAACTTTAATGTACAGTGTGACAATTTGATACACATGTACACTGTGAAATGATGACAATAAGATTAGGTAACAACTCCACCACCTCACATAATTACCATTTTGGGGGGTGGGTGTGTATGGGTATGTGTAGAACATTTAAGATCTACCCTCGTAGAAATTTTTAGGCATATGATACAGTATTACTAACTATAGTCACCATGCTATACATTACATCCCCAGCACTTACTTACATTTAGTGAGCCAATATTGATATACAATACCATTAAAAACTAAAGCCCATACTCGATTGAGATTTCCTTAGTTTTTCTCTAAAGTCCTTTTTCTGTTCCAGGATCCAATCCAAGGTACTGTATGACTTTCCATCACTGTATCTCCTTAGGCTCTTCAGGCTGTGCCAGTTTCTTAGACTTCCTTTGTTTTCGATGACCTTGACGGTTTTGAGGAATACTGGGCAGATGTTTTATACACGGCACTCACTTGGAACGTGTCTGGTGTTTTTCTCATGATTATACTGGGGTTATGGGTTTTTGAGAGGAAGGCCACACACGTATAGCACACTTCTCACCACGTCATATCGAGAGTGTGTACTAACAATATTACTCATCACTGTTGATGTTAACCTTGATTGCCTGGCCAATGTAGTGGTTCTCAGGTTTATCCACTGTGAAGGTTTATCCCCTCTCTCCACCCTCTTCACCTTCTCAAACTGTAATCTTTGGAAGGAAGTCAAAACTTATGGATTGGGGAGTTGTGCTTCACCTCCTTAAGGGGGAAATACCTATTTAAATTATTTTGAATTCTTCTATTTTCTCCCTTTTATGTATTTGTTCAATTATTCATTTGTATCAGCATGGACTCATTGATATTTATTTTATACTTTGGATTGTTATCCAGTACTACTTTATTTTGTTGCTTAAATTGTTCCAACTCTAGCCCTTGGGAACTATTTCAGTTAGTCCTGTGCCCCTTTGACATATACCCACCAATATCAATATTTTTAAAAGTACTATGAAATGCTTCAAGCTCATGTTATGTATTTCCTGTGCCTAATCCTAGAATCAGCCATTTCTCCAAGGAGCTGTGGTTCCTTGTATTGGACAAAGGTATTTATGAACCAAGATCTGGGTGCTAGGTGTGCTCATTATTGTTTCTAGACCCCCTCAGCTGACAGAGCAAGGGACTATATGTGCATACTAACCCATATATATACACGTGTCTATAAATATTTCTATATATAACCATCTCTGTGTATGTATGTGTATATATACACACACAAGTTTTATAAGATTGTGTATACACACACAGGTGTGTGTGTGTGTGTTTACATATATAGATATGATTCATACTGAGGTCTCCAACTCTAATCTATTGCACATGGATCATTCTAAGAGCCTTCTCTTATCTGTAACCCCTCTCTCCAACAGTGAGAAACCTGGCTTCTGCAGTCCACACTCCGTTTACTTATTTGTTCAATTCCAGTGCACATGCATAGTTGTTTGCTTGAGAGTTGGTAATGTGTAAACCCCTGTAAGAAACTACATGCCCATCTAGAGGGAATGATAGCTATCAAATTCCATAGCGAAAAGGGTTGGGCAGATGGCTGCACTTCTGTAGACAGATTCTCTTATGACAAGTTTTTCCCCAGAGCCTTCTCAGTTATGTGTACTCAGTCAGAGCTACTAGTCTAGGTGTGGGTGCTGGGGTTGAGGGGAAGGTACCCTGAATGGACAAAAAGCAGAGCAGCTTTTGTGAGACCTGGGATAGGGTGAAAGAACTGAGCTCATTATCAGTGGAGCTGTGAGCTCTGGTATTCCCTGTTACCAAGGTCCTGCATACCATGGAGAAAGATTTCTATAACATTGTACTTTGTGTTCCATGCAGTTGAGCCTTCAGACTTCTAGTAGGCTGACGGATGTATTTGGTTTTGTTGGTGGGGATAAATTGTTTGCAGAAGGATATCAACTCAATATATCTTTGGGTGACTTTAACTGATTTCCTTTTGTGGTGTTCCCTTCAAGACACTGTATAAATACCATTCCAAGAAAGTATTTCAGTATTATTTGGTTTCATGCAAAGAGAAATTTAAAAATCTTGTTTTTCATTTGTAGGATCCGGGGACTGGGATGATTTCAATCGGGGGAATGCATGGAAAGAAACTACCTCAGTGAAGCGTGAGTAGTAAATTAAATATTAAAAGTAAACAATAGGATTAATATGCACCACCCACTCAGAATATATACTCAAGGGAAACAGCAGGTGGTCTGTATTTCACTTGATCAGATAAAATATGGTTATCATGAGCTGCATTATTGAAAAGAAAATCTGAATATTTAAAATCCTTTGTTGCCTTTGTGGAGAATACTAGTGTGTTATATCTGATACAGCATTTTCTCCCACTCAAGTCATAGCCTGCACTGGTGTACCATGCTAGCAGAGGCCTCCAACACCTCTCTTTCCCTAGCTCAGAAAGAGATCCTTTGAAGTAAATAAAGGATTTGTCTCCCTTTCTAGATTTTTT